AAAACACCTTTGTGTCCAAACACCAGGTACTCCCTCAAGAAATAAGAACGAATCCAAGATGACAGTAAAAGAAAAAAGCAGACATCAGAGCAAGAGCTGTCCACAGAAGGCAGTCCCGTGACATAGCTTTCTGGTCTGCACACCAATGCAGCCACATTAAGATACTTCCCTCAGAGGTTGCAGGGTAAGGATCCAAAGTCACGGTCACCCCAAATGTGCTGGTTAATGGGGCTCTGTAGATGTTTAGACCTACTGTGCTCCTGGCATGTTCCTTCACACCCTAGGTGTTGCATCTGAAATAATTCTGTCTATGCTGTAGTGGGGAGGGCAGAACACTACGCAGCAGAAGAGAGTGCACTTTCACAAGGGATGCCAAGGAGAAAATATTCACCCATAGCTGCTGGCATGCAGCATCACAGTTCTCTTCCTTTCTCATGACCCTTCTTTTCCCAAAGGTGGTAGATGTAGCTAGGCAGCAGAGCACAAAACCAAACATCTGTTATACAGTGTCAAAGATGAGGAAGAGGAGAGGCCATAAGAGCCATGCAATGAATATTTGAGGTAAGGCTGCAACAGCTGGGAACATGCAGAGTGAATAAAAAATAAAGCTCACACTGAGTGTATGAGACTGACTAAGTCAGAACTAAGAAGTGTGGGAAAAGGCCATCTGAAAGGTATTTTAATCCCTAAAGAAAAGAAAGGTGTAGGAAACACGTTACAGATAACTCACTCCAAAAGCATTGTTGTGGGGAAAAAAAGAGCTCACTAAAACAAGTTTAAAATATTTTAAAGGGTATTTAGGAAGAAATTTGAACATTTTTAAGAGTTCTTGTAAAAAATAAAAAAAAACAAGAGGTCAGCCTTCTTTTAAATTATGAAGAAGGAACTCTTCATGGGTGGTATTGTTCATGTTTCTCTGACACCGCAGAACAGTCGGGTTTGAGGAGCACATTAGGATTATAGCTTTTGGTCCCCTCTGGATGTTGAGCTTATGTAGACTGCTGTGAAGTGTGTGGGCTTGTGGCAGAGTTGCTGCCTAGACCTTTATAGACTAAATGTCTCTTACAGAGTTGTGTAAGGCTTGATGGATTCACTGATTATATACTGGTTCTACATTCCTATTCTATGCATCTGTTTCCTCCTGCAGGGTTGATGAAGAAAAAATTGAACATTTACACTGATTGCATAGAGGACAATTTTGTAAAAGGTAGAACAAGTTTATTCATATCTGGTCATCACATTAAACATGCTTCTGCCAATTTACCTATATATATAGCATAACTTCTTTTGTATTTCTGGTTATTCTGAGTTTTATAATAAAGGTCAGTGTTAATACTAAGTAGGCCTGTAATACCAATCCTGAGGTTTCTTTGGGTGGGTTTGGGGGTATTTTTTTAATGTCAAAATGCTCTATTTATCATACTCCAGTATCTCATAAATAATTGTATACACTGCACTATAAACCCTAAAGGGAAATTCAGGTCTTATAAAGACACTACAAAAAAATTCATGTTCAGAAAGCCAAACCCTCCATATAGACTTCTTTCCTCATAAAAATCTCCCAGCCACTTTCTAATTTGTTTTAATTACAAATTTCTATTCAGGGAAAAAATGGTTTGTACATTACACAATATAAAGAAAAATGGCCACACACAAAAATCTCTTTTTCCCCTAGGCTGACTGAGTTTTTCCAATGCTTGCCAGCAGGTTAAAAAATGCTTCTATTAAAGTAATTAAAAGTAATGCCATAAATAATTATTTCAGTCCAGTGCCCTATACCATAAACATTTTGTGCCAGGACAATTGTGCTTAAAACAAAAGTTCCTCTGTACTCTCTCTCTTTTGCACTCTCACTCCTCCAATATTTTAGTCACAATAGTCTCTATGTGTTCAGCTTCTCCCAAAAAAAGTACAAAGAGACCTATGTCTAAGGAGGGCCTATCTGTCAGATTATGTTTCTTGCTTCTCTTCCTTAATTCTTACTGTCACCGTCCTTTGAGATGGTGTTTGGACAATTACCCAAGTCCCTGACAGGTTCTTCTATTAAACTGCAACAGGAAACATGGATAGAAACACATAGTTCCAGGTCTTCACTCAGGCAAGCACTTGGGCTGCCCCTACCTGTGTTTCTGCCCAGCTCTTCTCTGTGCCTGCCCCGGGTTGCTGGCAGCCCCTGCCCACCCCAGGTCTGGCTGCACTGGGCACTCCCTGCTGAACTCAGACACTGGTTCAGGTTTTTCTGCTTTTTCGTTTTCACAAAGTAAATTCAAGTTCCAAACAGATGGACTTCTTTTAGTTATAATACAATAATGCAAACAAATGTAAAACATTCTAAAGATGGTGACCCATAAATATGACCATCCCTTTCTATCTAGCATACCCTTCATGATTTCCCTGCTACAGAAAAGCACAAGTTCTATTTACAAGTTACACTTAACCTTCATGTACTACTTTTATGAGCCAAGCTTATACCACTATGTCAGCTTGCTAAATGAAGTTAGAGCAATTTTGTAGCTGGAGAAACTGAAGACTTGAAAAGCAATTCAATCCATCACAAAGCGTGATCCTGCTGGAAAGGCTGGATTCTTCCTTGTTTTTCCACTCTGCCTTCCTGTACTGCTATATGTAGCACAGAAGAAGAAAACTACCAAAAGTATAATTACAGGGAAAATTTAATCTTACTTCAGCCATATCTCTAAAGCATGGGAAATGGGAAAGTTATATATTAGGCAGAGTGGAAACCTGCATCTGACAAATTTAAAATGCCCTCATACACACAGTTCTTCTATTCAAACTCATTGATTTATTGTTATAAAGTTATATATAATTAATATAATTAATTCACTTTATAGTTGTGCTGACAAGTCCAGAAAGTCTGAACCAGGATTCAGAACAGGAAAAAAAAAATATTTTTAAGTTATATTTTTCTGCCTGCTTGGGTTTTGGACACCACCTACTTTCTGCAATTCTTGAGACAGGTTCAAAAGACAACTTTGCATGAATGTATAAGTAAAGGAAAAAGAAAAGTCCGTAATCACCCACCTGACTGCATGCCCTTTCCACACAGGATAGATATTAAAATTATTTAACTCTTTGCCACACTGTAAGACCAAAGGACCCTCTTCCTTTGAAAAACTTGTTTGGTAAATCCTCCTGCTCCTGAAGTTGCTCTTCTACCCTCCTACTTACAACATTAAAAAGCTACATGAACAGCACAGATCTAAAAGCATTATCTTTATTATTGATTAAACATTCATGCTTCATACCACTTTAGCATTTATTGCTTCATTTATGTGCAAATGTTTTGTAATGTAGAGACTGATAATTCCACCTTATCAGGTGACACTGTATCAAGGGTCCTAGTATTTAACAACACTATCCTTCTGAAAGCCACTGGGGGCTCTGATTCATGGAGCAGAGGGGTAAACCGAATGCTATGAGGAGATCCACAAATGTAACAGATAAGGAATGCTAATGCAGTAAAATCCCTCCTTCATCGTACAGTACAGCTGCATCTGTCCAAACCTCACAGCCAGGTCAAACCAGAGCCACACATACCTCAGAGGGCTAGCGTAAATTATCAGAGGGACTCTGGACAGCATCACAGCCCATGGAAGGGATAACTTAGTGCAGGCTGCTACTTCTGACAGGCATCACTACCACCAGCACCATAATTTTCCCCTGAAGACAGGAAAGACTGTGCTTTTAAAACCAACAGAATAAATATGACTGAATTTGCCAAGCCACACACTAGATTTTTAGTGGTAAGAGCAGATTTTTAGACATGACATATGAAAGAGGTGTTTATGATCATTCATTAAAGAAAAAATGTAGCACCTCAGGAATACATGTGAATATATTCTCCAGCTCACCCACAACCAACAGTTCCCATTCTGTTGAAGAATAAAGACTTCTGAGGCCGTTAGTAAACAACTAACTTCTTTGATCTGTTATTTTCATTCTGGAACAAAGAGTTTCTAAGCAGCATAACAAATTAGTTTACCCATAATACACTATGCCAGACATACTGTTGCCTTGAATATTTTTCATCTCTCAGCTCTGTTTAGGATACACAGTACCATCTACATCTTTTCTAAGCAATCCCATATAGACCCTGACCTCTTTGCACAGTCCAGAACAGGTAGTAAGAAACTGCAAGTTCCAAAGAATTAATGCAATGAGCCTCACATTCTACATTTATTTTATTTTTAGACTTAGTTAAGTCCATTATATGTTCTTAAATTGAAACTAATATATTTTATTTAGCTTTAATCTTTATTTCAACTCAGTCCAAACCTCCTTCATCTTCTCCAAAATGCTCCTGTGTTAGTAGGTATGATACTTTCACCCCCCAGAACCAAACAGGTAGTGCACTACATTTTGAACCCATAAAGCACACAGCTGACAAGTACTGACATAAATATCATCAGAACTGCAGGAGCCATGAATGGCTGGACTCTAGTGGCAATGATTTCTAATAGCAGAAACATTCTTAGCATAATACCTCATTACTTTAATACTTTGTGTGAAGTATTATATCCATTATAGATAGAGGATGACATCCTTCACTGACAGCTCTAAGATAAAAAGCACTTAACTTCCCATTATTCTGAACCGAGTCATAGCTCGTCACTAAATTTAAGAGCCACTTACAAAGCATTCAGCACCTCGTGCTTTCTTGTAGACACTTGCACGGAATTTAGTCCTTACTTCTGAATACAGCGAGGATGATGCATTAGACACTTTCACTATTATAGACTGTCACAACAGAAAAGTCATTAATTTACAAAGAGATAAGAATATTTTGCCTCCCCTCCTTACTAGTCATTCCTTTGTCCCATTCTTGCTCCTCAAGTTGACTTAGAGAATCTCTAAACTCTTTAATTGAAGTTTTTGGAGTTTTTTTCATGAAAGATGTCCTTCTATTCCAGATAGAAAAAATTTCAAGAAAAGATACGAATACTTTTTAAGGAAATGAAAATCAAACTTTTGGAGTGTTGTGCTCCCTTTATGCCAAGCTACATGGTAAAACAGATGATCAAACACAAATTCACGTTTTCTTGTGTCACTCGGTAGCTATTCTAAAGCTGGAGACAGTTTGAGAAAAGGTAAGCCCTGAAAGAAAAATGTAAAAAAAAAAATTAACAAACTTAGCCTTTAATATATTTTACTGTACTTATTGGCAAGAAGAAAAAAACTGGCAGATAGGAAGCATGAAAATTCCTTTTTACTGCCTGATAGAACATTATGTTTTAAAATGCATGTACACCAGTTGTTTCATTTTCTAATCTTGTTCTATTTTCTGACAACGTCCTTAAGATTTGATTCCTGTACCCTTTTCCTGCATTGTGAAGCATTTTTCTTTGTGCTTACTTCAATCAAATTCAGACAAACTATTTTAAAAGCAATTTCTAGCCTGATTATGGGTGAAAAAACCCAGTCTGTATCTTGCCAAGATCATTAGAGAGAAAAAAAAGTGATTTGGCAAATCTATCATCTTTTTTTCTCTTTCTTTTTCTCTTTTTCTCTTTTTCATTAACCTCTGAGAAGCACAGAATCAAAAAGGGAAAGAAAGCACAAATATCCAGTTCTCAGTACAGGCTAGAACAATCTAGATGACAGACCTGCATCCTGACTCCAGCTATCCTCAGGCAGATTTACTCACCCAGAATCTTCAAAGAGTATCTCCTTCCCTCTCCCACTGCATTATGTGGCTCTTGGTTGGGTAAAGAGTTTGCATCACCCCTTTCACACATAGAGGCACACTCAGACTCTTACTGGGACTGTCACAGTTGTGAGTATAACCTGTAAGGCTCAATGCAATACAGCCATTCTTTTTACTAACTTTGTGTCTGTTGTACCAAATGTTCCCCTTCTACCCTTGGATCACCATCCACACTACCTTAACACCTGAGACAACTTCAGGCCATTTCCACATGGTCTTCAGCTTTTGCTCACATAGCATAAAAAAGCTTCAATAAAAGAGAAAACTGAAATTTACAGTCCTAATAAAAGTTTATTTCCTTATCAGTAGAAATAGCGACTATATTTTCAGCTGTCCAGTAAGTTACAGGCTTCCTTACTCATTAACTCAAGAAATAGACCAACACCTTTGAGCTCAGACATAGTAAATCATAAACTCTAGAGCTTCTCATCACTGCCATGTTACGTAACTTAACTCCTCTCTTCAGTCAAAGCAGCTTCCTCATTACCTGTATCCAACATTTCTTCCCCTCAGTTATCTTCTTTGTTTCTTTCCCATCAATTCCAGCCAGTATTCCTTTTTCTAAATTACCTCCTAATTTTCTAAACACCATATTCATTGTGCAGGTATGCTCTGATGACAGAACCTAAGAACATGATATAGACTGGTATCATCAAAATACATTGCATTTGTTGAAGTTTATTTTTTTAGCTAAACATGACTTGAAATGGAAAAATATGGGCTTCTAATATTTCAGTCGTCTAGACATATAGAAAAACCTTGAAGTACCATAAAAAAGTCCAGGGCAGGAGAAGGAGAAATAGGAGCACTGAGTTGGGATTGAGGGGAGAACAATTCAAGTCTCTATCGAATGTACTGTTCTTCCAGAAACTGTGCATGAATGACTGAAAAATGTCAGAAGGAATATTACACCACAAGTTACAAACAGTAGCAAATCTTGATTAATTGATAAAGAAAATTTTTCTTGTTATTGTATCTATTTGAATTCCTGCATAAATATTAAAGAAAATGGAGGTAATATTCTTAGTAGTGGGTAAAACAAGAACTGGTTAACAAGCAGTAGGAAAGAGCTCTCAAGTGTAATATTCAGTTCCCCTCACCAGCATGTTGAAGGTATATGAAAGCTCCCCAGCTATTTTACTCCATTGCTATCGGTCTACTTTTATCACCCTGCCAGAGTCAAAGAATCTCTCGATTTTTTTTTTTAAATTACAGCAATTGATTTGTCTCTTTTTCCTGTCTTTGTAGGAAAAATATGACTTATGAAGGATTTCTCTGGTTGGTTTGGGCTTTGTTATTTTTGAAAGAAAACCTCCCATTCTTCCCTCCCATTTGTTCCTCTCTGTATTCCAGAGAGACCAGAACTGAAACTAAGAAAAAAAGAGATGCTGACAGCCCTGGTCAACTACCATAATAAAGAACACCCTTGGTGGTTTCCTTACTCTGCTGGAAAAAGGGCACAAACAAAGCTTACACGCTCTTTGCAGAGACAGTGCACACAACTGAATCCCCGCAGCCACATCAGACAAAATTTATTTGTACAGCAGGAATCACATCATCAGTCTGAAGAAATAGGGATCATTTGTATCACAACAAGCAAATGAGATTACCCTATGCTAACAATCTCACCACCCAAACACAGCTCTTACATACTCTTTAATTACTGATGAGAACTCCTGATCCAATGGAAGAAGCTGTTCAACCTTCTCAGGGCACAACTAAGGGCCATAGCACTTACAAGTATTGATTCACTCTTTCTGCTTAGTGGAAACATCCACAGACAAAGAAAGGCTGCTGCTGCGCATAATCAGAATTCATTTTAGTGGGATTTCTCTTTTATATTTTCCTAGTTCAATTAGCATGTCCTGATTTCAAACTATTTTTAACAAGACATTTTTCTTCAATCAAAGGGGCAAATGCTTTTTCAAGAATGTCAGTCATCTAAATTATCCATCATTTTATAGTTTCTGACAAGCCTTGAGACACACTACTATGGAAATAAAATCTACAGCTGAATTAACTTAAACTGTTTTATAGGGGCCTGCTATTATAGTAGTGCACTGAATCTTGAAGATCACCAAAGGCTGTGGTCCTTAGCACTAGCTTTAGTTTTCGCAAGAATTATCCAGAATACATGTGGATACTGGGACCAGAATTTAACTTTTGTTTAATCTACATGAAGCTGAAAGGATTCTAAAATCATCAATGAAATTATTTTGCAGGTACGATGGTACAACTGAAACAAAAACAATTTTAGAAAAGGTAAGAAAACCCATTTTTTTTTTACAAATGGAATAAATAGGTGAATTCAAAAACACCTAGATGGCCAGGACTGTGTTTTTTGTTTTTATTAAATTGTTTTGAACATAAAATAGCAAGAACATCTAATTTCTCAAATTCAGGCTCTCCTGACAGTGCAAAACTACCACTCCCAGCCCAGATTTCTTGTTTGGCTGATGGTTACTGATCTTGACACTTGCTGGTACTCTGTGTTGTGAATAATTCAGGGATGCTGAGTTGTTCAGTGACAAACTCTGGAGGGTAAAATGAGATCTGACATTGCTGCTTACCTGTTTGTGCTTCAAAGCAGAATTAATAAGCAGAATTTCTCTGTTAGCCTCAGGATTACTGAGAAGAGATCTGAATCAAAATGCCTCATAAACACTCCCAGTGTTTGCTCCACTGCAGCTGAAAGGAAGACAGCAAAGGTCTTTGCCCAACATCATGCAGAAATTTAAAGTTACTATCTGATTGCTGTAAATTAAGCATTTGGATGAATCTAGAACAATCCTATTTGCTTTCTAAGCCACTGAATTAGAAAAAAAATAATCTTTTTCTCTGGAAAAGAATGAACTGAAGGTTACAGCTGCTTTCTGCTAGATCCAGCTATGCCACCGTAGAAGAGAATGCTTACCGTGTTTTGCTCCACCCTTTGATGGAGTCAAAAACATCTACAGATATGTCAGCTGAACCCTTCAACACTTCTTTATTTGTTCAGATAAAATCAAGTATGTCATCTTGAGCAATGGTTGAGTTGACCTGCATGATTTTACCTGAATCAGCAAACTAGAGAGCACTTTCAGCACCTACACTAAAGAAAGCTGATAGAGCGCAGTTAAGCTCCAAAATGGATATGGTCTCCTTAGGCTGAGAGCATCTGGAGAAGAGGAATCTTGGTTTACATCTGATGTGGCTGTGGAAAATCAGTTGTGTGCACCAGTGCTGCATCCTGACCCCATCCTACATTGGGCTCTTCTTCCACTAAGGTTAAAAAGACCCTAGAGTGTGTTCTTTACAATGTTACTTGACCTTAGAAACATCAGCAGAAATACCAGAGCAACCAAGCACAGCTGAGGTCAGTAACTTCTTCCACACATGTAGCTGGATCCAGAAAATAATGTCTATGAAGGGCCTTGAACCAAATGCCAAGAGCCTGTAGTCCAATCTGAGAGTATGCTGCCAGGCCACTGGTGGAGTTTTTCTGGGGCAGAGTTACAGTTCTCAGGACACACAAAGGGCTTTTGCAAAGAAAAGTTTGTCATTAAATGAGCCCTACTCAAAGAAAGTCTGTACAGCTACTGACTGATAGCACTGATCAACCATGCAGAGAGTCTGGCTGCCTGAGCCTCCAGCATTAAGGGGTTTCTTTATGTCAGTAATATTTATGTTGACTTCACATTTTTAAGGAGAGGGATTTTGGGACTGGAGTCATCAAAACACACTTAAATGAAAAAATGCAAATCCCTGTAGTGCCTTGGGTTTTGGCAACACAAAACAATTGTTTCTTCCCTTGATTTACATAACAAAGACACCAAATTCCTCTTTTCTCTAAGCTCGTGGGGAAGGTTTCCAAGGCACTTGAGGCACAGCAGTCAGATGGAGAGGCATAAGGAAGGCATTTATACTGCTAAGCTTTCTATAGCACAAGAGGGTAGACATTGTAGTAGCAGGCAATTATTTTCTTTAAATCAAAAAAAGGGGATGATAGTAAAAAGCATAAGCTTTAGAAAATCAAAATGAGGTTCTATAAACCTTAAAGTGCACCTGTGATTGGCAAGCTCTAGCAATAGCTCTCTGCTAAAGACCACTATAACTTTCCCTGAAGGGCATCAATTTATCTGCACTGAAACACTTCTCTACAGCACTAGAAACCCAGTACCATGTACAAGACTGAGAAATCTTTAGCAAGTTAGGTGTTGGCCATTAAGCTGACAAGTCTCATTTTACTACTGCAGAGGCAAATGGAGTGGCATCCAAAAAAATCCAGAATCAATAATGAGAAATAAATGTTATGTATAACCTGCATTCAGTTTTACTGATCTGCCTTTCTGTGGTTGTAAATTCCCTGCCTTTTGTATGTCAGGACACCATGAAGTATCTACAAAACATAGTTTAAAAGTTACTGGACTAACTTTGTCACTTGATATGGAAAACATTTTGATTAGGTTAAAAGTATTTTCAGTAGTAATAGTGGTGAAAAAAAATTGTCTTTACTATATAGTGCTTGCAATTATTTTATTTTCCCCCTTAATTTTTATTCCTTGGTTTGTTTCTTTTTATGACATCAGAAAAGGAGATGTTGCTACCCTTAGCTGTTTTAACACTTGCACTGTTCTTACAGACACCACTGAGCCACAGACTGAGAAGGCTGACTCTGTACTATGTGTTTATTCCCATATGCTGGAAGCTATACACTATCTTGTTAACAGAGAAAATAACCTGCTGCTGAAGAAGCACTTCTACATGCAAGATCACATGCTATTCTCTCGTTTTTTACCTTTATGAACCCTGGATTGGACCAACATGTTTTTAGTTTTGGTAAAGAGCCTAGCGCAGGTTAAGCTGGTTTACTAAGTATATTAAACTTTATGAGTTTAATGAGTTTAATTACTAGATAACTGTGGAGGAAGGATAAAACTTTTTTGAAAACTTTTGGCAAAAAACAAGCACAACTGTATCCTAATTTCTTTTTCTCACATATACACAAATGGTCTACATTTATTTATTTATTACTGTCTATCCCAAAGCTGAAAAAACTCCAGGAAATGCCCTGTACTGTCGTGCTGCCATGTAAGACTGAAAGCTCAAAGCAAATCATTAGGCTAACAAATCTCAAGGGAACTCTGGCTATAGATCAGCACTGCTGAGCTGGGCAATAGGGCTGACACTTTGCGCACCTTTTTGTGCCTACTGAGGGTTCCCATTCTTTCCTTTCCTAAATTTTCCATGCATATTTCAAATAGACGAGAAAAAAAAAACATAGTAATGGAGATTAACTAAAAAATCACCTTGTCCAATTCCCCTCTTAACTGTTGATGTGATATGATGCTAATTTTTCATGCCCAGTTGGAGCCAGCACACTCCGACACACCGGTGGAATATGTTTTCAGGTTGAAAAAATGAATTTGAGTCATACTGAGCAGTAAATATTTTATGACAAAGAACATACATAGAAAAGCCCCACACCACAAACTCAGCCAAGTGGATTTTGAATTTTCCATGTCAGAATTGAAAATTATGTTTCCTGTTCTATTTTTCACTCTGACATAGTAAAACTGGTGACCTGAAAGTCAGCTTGGTTGGTTTTTTCCCACTTCAGTTCTGACCTGTTCTGTCCTCCTAATATACCCATAAATGGGGCTGAGACCAGAGGCTCACAAGAGTGAGGAGATCAAGGAGGAGGGATCAAGTATCACTCCTGCAGCTGCAAGAGTATTGAGTTGACAAAAGTTGCTTTCCATACCTTCCTTGACCCAGATTCATCCCCAGCTCTGTCAGCTTCTGACAGCCTAGATTTGGGCAAGAACTCTGATTGTGATGGCAAAAAAAGACTCTCAGAGGCTTATTTCAAACAGTGGAACCCTGAAGAAGCCTTTATAACACAGCAATGAAATATGAAAAATTTAGATTTTAAAAATAAATTACAATTTGCTGCTTCCTGACATGAGTCAGATCTCACATCAGAAATAAGCCAACATTATGTAGTGGCAAAGTCGGGCAGGAGCTGCAGCAGATCCTTCTGCAAAAGGTAGAGCAAAGTGCTACCTATCATAAGGCCAGAACAACATTACACATGCTTGCCACTGAAAGCTCCATTAAAGCTCATCTGACACAGGGGTTTGTACTTACTTAACATATAACAAATTGCCTAAAAGCCTTTTATTTTTCATGGGTCTGTACCTGAAGTATACAAGAGTAACAACAATAATGTCCAGCCTTAATTGTTTCTCTCCAATTATTTCAAAACCACAGAATGCTGGCCTGAAGGTAGTCTTGCATGTACAGCTACATTCCTTGCTACATGTCACGGTAACATCCCACAGTCCTGTTGCTTCAGTCAGGACAATGATCAAATTAGTGTCATAAATTAAATAATTTTCTGTATTCAAGAGTAGGTGATGGCAAATATGATAACAACTGAACTTCGACCTCTTTCTCCATTTCATTTTGTTGCTTTTGTCTACTAAATTAGTCTAAAGACATCATGAAAAATGACATCGTTTCTTGAAGTGTATCTGAATAGTTGTGACTTGTGACTCTCAGAAATAGCATTAGCACATGTTCTCTTCATAAGTTCACAGTTTATGATAATATGAAAAATAAAATCATAAGAGCATATGAGAGCTACTGAAAAAAGGAAGCAAAAGCAGAAATATCAGCTTCCCATTGGTAGAAAATAAATAATGAAGAAAAAAAGACGAACTTGTAAAAGCCACTGCCTACATACTTCAGATATACCACCTGCTCCAACAATAACTTTGAGATGTCTCCATCTCTATAGGGTCTTACCCTCCAACATAGCTTCTTCTCTTCTTTCTCTGAACTATAGACTCCTTGAGACACCAAATACTTTTCCGTAAAGCATTGCATGCATATTCATGTAATATAAAATGGTGTCTACATCATTAATGGTGTCTACACCATTGTGTCTACTCAGAGGAAAATAGTCCTCAGAGGCTTAATCAACTTTATTTCAAATTCAGAAAAACTCCACAAAAGGATGAAGAACATACAATAGGATATTTTTGGAGTATTTTCTATTGTATTAAGGCACTGCGTTTTCTATTATAGAATCATAGTATTGCCAGAATTGGAAGGAACATTAAGCATCATCCAGTTCCAACACCCCTGCTGTGGGCAGGAACACCTTTCACTAGACCAAGTTGCTCAGAGCTCCATCCAAACTGGTCTTGGACACTTTCAGGGAACGGGCATTCACAACTTCTTTGGCAAACTGTTCCAGTGTCTCACCACCCTCACAGTAAAGAATCTCTTCTTGCTATCTAGTCTAAACCTACTCTTTCAGTTTGAAGCCATTCCACCTTGATCTGTCACTACATCCTCTTGTCAATAGTATATCTCCATCTTTCTTATAGGCTCCCCTCAGGTACTGGAAGGCTGCAATTAGGTCACCCTGAAACCTCTTTTCCCGGCTGAACACTTCCAATTCTCTAGTCTCTCATGTGTTGGTTCTTTTCCCTGTAACACCATATATACATCCCATCTTACAGACTTCGACTGAAATTACAAGAAAGGTCTCATAATGCAAAGACTTCACAGAAAACTCAGTTGAACCAAAAAAAAACCAAACAAGCTGGACTTTGGATATTTATCCTGATATGAACTTGCTTTAAACGGTTTGATATTTTCTCATTCAAGGTACTACCTTAGAATAGGATTTTCTAATA